TATAATGATAGATGCAAGATTCAGGCAACAAGATTTAAATGCGACATTTCCCCAAATAGTAATCTATTATTTATCTAAAATACAAACCATTGACCTTCACAATCGTATTTCTTTTACTGAATCACTGTAATAAAAATGAACATTTTGTCATCACTTTGGGAACCTGTGCCAAACACCTTAAAACACATGTCACATGCCAGCTTCACTTCATTCCTTTCCTCAGGGAATAGATACATCTGGAATCATAATCACAGATAAAAACCTTGACAAAATTGCACATGAGCCCAGCCCCTCTCCCCAACACCTACCTTTTCATAACATTTAATACAATATTAATATCGGCTACTAAAAAGGCTTCCAACCTTTATATTTCTGACATATCATGTTCAAACCTATATTTCACACTTCTTGTTCTGTTTTAAGTTCAGTACATTTAACAGGACTCTGGAGAGAAGATCATGTGGTTGAAGATTCCCCTCCCTCTCTGACACCCATAAAGGCATTTTTGGAATTGTTCAAATAGCTACAGCCATATAAGCTAAAAAAAATTTCTAAGATTACATAAATCTTATTTTTTTCTCAGATGTGTGTGTGTGTGTGGGGGGTGCATTTATTTCTCAAGTCAATTGCTAATACTGGTGACAAAGCAATTTGTACTCAACATCTGGGAAAAAACATCTTCAATATTTTCATTTGAATCTTTATTATTTTTCCTGCACATTCTGATCTATCAGGCAAATATGATTAGCTAATGTTGTAGAGTAATGCTATCTGATCTAATTTATCAGTGATTGACAGTTTTTCAAATCAAAATAAAACATGTTCTTTGCTGATCATCATCTTAAAAGTGTGCTGCTTGCATTGTCTTAAGCTAGGTGTACTGCTGAGACACAGCAAGGGAGCTTATTTAAATTGGGGCAAACAGTGAGATCCAAGAGATTCTACCCTGTCCCAAAGATGCTGGATTTAGATTATGTTTAGCTGCCAATTCCTATAATGGTATATTTGCCACATGCTACTATAAAACATTCATTGACTGGAGTTAAAGCAATGGAATTGGAGAGGGTTTTAGAATTTTCATTTATTACTGCGCTTGTAATTAATGCCAACTTGGAAATATCTCATGCAGCTCACTGCATTGCTTTGTTTCTATTAGCCTGGACACATTTTGATACATATTTAACAGTTTAGAAAGACAATAAAAAGCAGCAAATATAGTAAACAGCTTTAAGGCACAGGATATTCACTATCTTTATGTGAGTGAAACAATATATACTACCAATTTTTCCTGAGACAAACTACTTACATTGTCTATGACTCATACATCAGAGGGTATTAACTGGCTAAGGATAGCACAGATTTAGAAAAAGGAACAGATATATAAAATGTGCCTTACCCAGGAATACTAAAACAATCTTCACAAACACATTCATCTACCGTTTAGCCTGACAGTATCTGCAACAACAAGGTCCTATTTTTAAATTGTCTGGTGTCTTTTAATAGGATTATCCTGCTCTTCTCTTCTACTGTAAAATGACCCAAAGAGTCTCACTTTTTATACAGTAAGTGTAAAACATGATAGATGAATGGAGTAATCAGTTCATTGAATTGTTTCAAGTCAGCATGGAGAGCAAATGAATCTCAAGCATGTTAGTCTTTGTCCAGTGATTCAGGGAGATGAAGAGTTGGGCTCCACTTGCTGTCAAGAAGCAAACTGTCTCACATTTTAGGAGAACAACATCATTGCCTGTAAAAAAGAAGAGACAAAATAAATAAAACCAGTTAATGTTGTAGTTCACTTGCAAATCAAGTAAATCTGTTGGTACAGTATTTTAGAAATAAACTATAACAACATCACACCAAACACACATTTCTGAACATATATGTGTTTGATTTTGCATTAATGGTATATCAGCGTGAAGTATTGCTTCCTTTGCTGGTACACACTTCCTGATGCCTACTGTGAAGAGTGCCCATATTTACAACTGAGTAACATGATTAATTACACCTTGTCAATCACGGTGCATGAAGACATAACACCACAGCAGACAATGAAGAAGATGCCTGAAGCTACAATTACATTTTAATTCATAGTTTATTGTATGTCCCATATATTGCAGTCTAATAACCATATGGGCATTGAAAACATAAGAGATATCAATCACTGCCCCTGCTCCTCATGTTTATATTGTTCCACAGCCTTTAAATTACCATAACTAGTTACTTGTTTCCTGAGCTTTTCTTCTCTTCTTTCTTACCTTTTGCTTCCATTTATCTTTTATTCTTTTTACCTTTATCCCATAGCAAAAAAGTATTGATGTAGTTTGTAGCTCACTTAAAATCTCTAACAGACAACCTGAAACCCAGCAATTAGCAAAGACAGCTTAGACTTGTGTCCCTTTGTTGAAGGAGGCGTTGAATTCTTTTGTTCTGATTTAGTCACGGTAGCTGGGTGGAAGCTGGTACCTCATTATGTGGTTGGTCTGTTTGTCTGGTAGGTAGCAGATGGTACTGGAGATGACGTTACCAGAGAGAGGCAGGGTAGAGAAACTCTAGACCTGTGATTTGTTCACCTGTCACCTACTACAAAATACAGGTTAAGGGACTTTATTATTAGCTGCACTTTTTTTGATGAATAATTTCCCATTTCAAAAGAGCCCCTATTTGATTTTAAAAGATGATTCATATTATAGTGTTTTCTTCCCTGTTCATTATTCAGGAATATCCTGCTTTTTATTCTGAACAATGTAAATGTCATTCATGTGTCAGTATGTACACTAGCAGCTTTGTGTTTACATTCTACTACTTTCCTTGTGTTTTGGTAGCAAGGGCTGGATGTCTTCTTGTGTTTGTATATCACTTAGGAAGATAATCAGAGATAGTGGCCTGTGAGCTGGGGTCATGCCATACCTTTTTAATGCAGTGACTTGTCTTATTTTTTCAACCATTACATAAATATAATTATATAAATATAATCTAATAATTTAGATGATGTCTGAGACCTATATTAAGTAGAAGCCATGACCTGTTTCAGCTGCAAATTCATTTGCAATATGTGTGATAAATTCTGTATTACTGCATGACATATACAAAGAGATATAGGCTTTAGATGAAGAATACCTACAGCAAGCTACCTAACAAAAGGCAAACCAGTTGTGCTCCATGGCAGAAGACAGTATTAGGCAAACAGCACAGTGTGTAACTTGCTGGCTAGGCTGTTTTCCACCTGTACGTTATTAAATGGAGGCAATGCTTGGGAGGTCTTACAACTTTAGCAGGGAAGGGAGAGATAAAGTGCTGAAAAGAGGCTATTACTATCAATCTGCATGGTGATTTCATGTCCGCATAAGTTACTCTACAATGAATAAGTCACAATAGCCAAAATCACATCTGTATAAATGTATACAAGTGAGTGAAAGAAACAGTATCAAAGCAAAAAAATATTCTATCTATAGAAAAATCAGACAAAACGGGTTGTTCTGTTGCACTTTCTAATCTGAGCAAAGGTATCAGTTTCCTTTGTTTCTAAGTCTGGATACCTTTGGCACAGTCTCTGGATGATCCCACAGATGCCACCTTAGCCTGTATTCTGCATGGCTCCTCAAGTGCTCTTGCGGGGTTTTACAGAAATCTCTGAGACGTAATACGGGGGACAACACCTCATTCCCCCCTTTACTGTGAGAATGTATTCAAGGAGCTGGAGGTATTCAAAAGGACAAAAGGAATAATAACAATAATGTCCAGTGTCTTATAAGGAAGGTCAAGAAACAGCTAAATCCAAGCAAGCTGCCATGTAACTGGAATAATGCTGCTCCTAACCACATACAGCTGCTTCACCTGAGTACAGCCAGAGGTGTCCCACTGTCATTGCTAGCAAAAGTAACCACGAAATACCAAATAACAGTAAAAACTGTACTACCGCTCAGAGATGACAAACTACTGCTAACAACACATCTATTTCGTATTTTGCACACACAGAGCCCCAGTAAATCTGAGGTTCTTAGAAGTAAATGTAATGTCAATGTAATCCTTTTATTAACCTAATTAAAACTCTGCTGCTTGACTTGCTAAGGTTAACTCTACCACGCCGTTTTTCTTCCTGGAGAGTGTTCACAAAGCTCGGTAACATTTCTCCCGCATGCCTTGGGTACGCTTCTGGAGAAATCCCTGAAGCCTGTGACTGAAGTTGGGAAGAGGCTTTTGTGGCCTAGTTCTCCTAAAGTTTATGTGGGAATACGGGCAGCCCGAGAGGTCAGTCCGCAGACAGCGCCATGAGCTGGAGCGGCCCGGGGCTCGCTGCGGACGCGGCTGCGAAGCGGGCGGGTGACGGTGACGGCTACAGTCCGCGGACCGCAAACGCTGGAGATGCGACCAGCCCTTAAGCGCGGAGAGGCTCGGGGCCTCGCGAGCCAGCTCCGCAGCCGGCCTGCCGGCGCGCCACCCCCGCTCCGCC